CTATTTTTGTGAGCCCTTCAAGCATGATTATCTATATGATAAACAGATCCTTTCTACTATCCTTTGAGGTGGCTGTTATTATTAAATTCATTTTACAGATGAGGAAACGGGCTTAAAGCAGATCATATTTTAGGGCCCTCTGTCAATAGTCTGCTGAGGACCTGAATTTAGATTTTTTAACTTCAAATTCCAGGGACTCTCTGGTAGCTCCTTCATTCTTGAATCCTAATTTGTTTCAGCCCCTCATTCAACGGGCTCAGTTAGGTAAGCATCTGACTTTTGATTTTGGCTCAGGTGATGATCCCACGGTTTGTGGGATCGAGCCTCGAATCGGGCTCCAAGATGACAGCATGAAGCCTGCTTGGGATTCTCTCTGTCCCCCTCTCTCTGCTTCTCCCCACCCCACTCTCTCTAAGTAAGTAAGTATATAAATAAATAAATAAATACCTCGGGATGCCTGGGGATGCCTCAGTCAGTTAAGTGTCTGACTTCGGCTCTGGCCATGATCTCACAGTTTGTGAGTTTGAGCCCTGCATAAGGCTTTCTGCTGTTAGCATGGAGCCTGCTTCAGATCCTCTCTGTCCCCCTCTCTCTGCCCCTTCCTTGCTTTTTGTGTGCTTGTTTATGCTGTCTCCTCTCTCTCTCTCTCTCTCTCTGAAAAATAAATGAACATTTAGAAAACAAAAGAAAAACGCTTAAGGACCCAAATTAAAAAAACCCCGAGGATCCGGTTTTGGATTGTGCGTGCTTAGGAAGAATAGAGGGCAGAAAGAGGAGGAAAGAAAAGGGGGGTTGGATAATAAAATAGATTCTCTCACTTAGGAATATTTTTTACCGAACATGACCCTAGCAGGTATAACTTCCTCAGACAGGTAGTAATATAAATGTGTATTTCAGAAAAGTCTTACTGGAGGAAATGGAAAGAGGTAGCAGGAGGATGTAGTGTAAGGGGGAGAAAGTCTGATCTGCGGAGAATCCGTCTATGGATCAGGACTCTGGAACAGAAGGCCTAGATTGCTAACCCTGACTACGCAAGACCCAGATCTGATCATTCATCCCTTATCTCTGTAGTGCCTCAACTGAGAGTGATAGGAGGGACTCACCTGTGCTATTGGTACATCACTGCCTCTGTCCTCAGTCCTGAGGGGGCTCAGACCAGCCTATCCTACCCAGGTCAGGGATCAGAGCAGCACAGTCCTCAGTTTCTTCTAACTGGAAGCTTCCTAATTCTCTTTGTGGGAGAAGGCCTGGGAGGTGAGGGGGAGAGATCAGGTGAGCAGAACTGCACCTGTGGTTGGAGGGGAAGCCCTTGCAGCAGCTGCCACCTACTACCCATCCCCTTGCTCCATCCTCCAATTTCCAGAAGGAGCTCAAGCTCCTGCTCCCACCACCCCCGTTGCCTTAGCTTGTTAACCCAATGGGATGTGGGCTGGAAAATCTAGAACCAGGATTTGGGGCTACTCAGTAACAATCAAGTCACAGGGGACAAGTGAATTCCCTGCTTCCTGAGCCATCTTTTCCCTTTTGGGGACTTACTAAGGACCCCAGGCCTTAGGTCACAGCACACACTAAATAACATGGCTGGGAAGGGAATACGGAGGAATTTTGTATCCTGGATTTGAATGGGAAGGTACCATGTGCAGATGCCCAAGGACACACATTCAGATATGTAGCTGTCATTATGGAGTGTCTAAGGACTCAATCAGCACTGAGCTGGGACCTTTACACATGTCTCTGGAGTGTATTTGGCTGTAAGTATAGAGACCCAGACTAACAATGATGCAAAGAAATGCGGTTTATTTTTCTCACATTACAAGAAGCTGTTTGGCACTGGTCTACTGGCTCAGTGGTACCATCAGGAATCCAGGCTCCTTTTTTTTTTTTTTTTTTTTTTTTTGGTTCTGACATCCTTAGCATATTGGCCTTCATCCTTGCATCAGGGTCTCTAGAGGGTGAAAATTCCAAGGATCTCATCCATAGGAGAAAAGAAGATGATGTCTTCCCCTTTATCCAGGAAGCAAAAAATTCCCTCCCAACCTTCCTCCGGCCAGTCTTCTGCTCAGGCCTCATTGGCCAACATTGGATCATGTGCCCACTTCCAGCTACAAGAGAGACTAGGAAAGCAGGGGACAGGATTTCCATGATTGACATACAGCAGTGGTGTTCAGCTTTGATCCCATCCTCAAAGATTCTGGCTCAGTTGGTCTGGGGTGGGTCTTGACATTGGTATTTACTAAATACTCCAAAAGCTTTTATTTAAAAAAATTTTTTTAAGTTATAATTTGCTTTTCACCACACTGTGGAGCCAGCTCAAGTAATCTTCAACAAGCCTCCCTTCCCCTCTGGATAAGCCACGTTACTGCACTGACTGGGATTCTCAGGTTTATCCCAAAGCCCCAGTTCCCCTTGGGGTTGGTTAATTAGTAAGTTTGCAAGTTATTTTTTCATGAATTTGCAGTTAGTTATTGGTTAGCCAATCAGCTGACCAACTAATAGAACCAATGAACTTACCAATTAGTTGGCTTTTCCTTTTTAATGTGTCCGGCACATAGTGAGCACTTGCTCACATAGTAAGCATAGTAAGGACTTTGGATGAATGAATCCATAAAATGGAGATAAAATGGAATTAATCCAGCATCTGATGAGATGGTAGCTTTGAAACCACTTTGCAAATGGTAAGACACTATACAGACGTAAGAATAAAAGTTGAGAAGAGAAACTACTTTAAAGTTCAGGGCCAGGAGAAAGTTTGTTCCCCACCCTTCACCAAAGATATACTGTTTCCACATTTCTGAAATGGAGAACTACCATTTAGCTCTGCTGCTGATAAGCCAGATTTTGCTTTTAATTATAGCAACTTTGTCAACACTTAGCGATAGGATGTATTCTCTCTCCTTTCTCCTTGATCCTGGTTCATCTTTCTACTTGCATTTTTATTAGCTTATTTTGGTTATAAACCAAAGAGGTGGGATAAAAATTTTTAGAAATACTTAGGAACTAACATATTAACTATCTACCACACATTAGGAATTCACATGCATGAACTTAGCCAAACCTCACAATAAGCTAGTAGGTTGGTGTGATTATCTCTATTTTATTTAAGTGTTAAGGGACTTGTCCAAGGTCACACAGTTGCTAAATGATGAGCCAGGATTCAAAGCCAGATTTCAAAACCAAGGTAAGCCTGACACCAAACCTGAGGGCTTTCCCCTCAGCCAACCCAAGTCTGTGTGATAGATGCTTGGTTATGGTCAACTATTTGCTTAGCTAGCTGAAGAGAGTTTTTATACTTTGAACTCCTCAAATCCATTTTGGAAAAACAAAAACACTGGTCTTTTTCTTTTCCCCCACAGGCTATTTATGAGCCTATTTTCTATTATTTTATGTACTACTGAGAAGGAAAAAAACAAACAAACTACAACACTGCAATGAATTAAACTACCTTAGATTCTAAGATGCATCTCAATTTCAAAGATGTCAAAATGTGAAAAAAAATGTATGTGTTAATCAGTGAAAGAAAGAATTCCATTCTACTAATGGGGAATGTGTATACATAACCTCCCTTTCTCTCTTACTTGCTGGCTGGTTTGCCCCTTCCTTCCTTCCTTTTCATTGCCAAAACCTTGCCTGTCCCTTCCATATTTCATTTCTCCATGTCATCATAAACTAGTTGATACTGATTTGGAGTATCTCCCGAGAGTCTCCAGAAAGCCTTGCACTTATAGAAAGTCTCCATTCTAGTTTCTTTAAAGAGCAACACTAGATGGTCTCATTATGAACTTCCTTCAATGATTGTCAACAAATTCTTTCCAGAGTCTGGCCTAGATGTAGTCTTCCCATGGTGTCTGGTGATTCGCTGCCCTCCCTGTTCACCATCCCACACAGTAGTTGCTTGGTTAGTCTGTACACTATTTATGTGCAAGGGATTTCCCTACAGGTTGTTGGAGAGGGCATGGGAGGGGGCTTGGGAGCTGAGACATGCCATCCAGTCCTCCGTAACACAGGAAACATGACTCCCCAGGCATCTCTGAAACACCAGGGCCTTTCCTTTCTCCACTCCAGAAGAAGGCAGGATTGGAGGAAGATTAAGCTTCTCCATCCCTTTAGATCTTACTTCCCCTTTCTGGTTTGGGACTCCATGAGACAAATTGTGAAGGGAAGAAGGGGTAGCAGAATCTGGTACTCCTAAGGGTGATAGGGATTCTTGAGCAGTGAGCCCATTGTGGAGATGGGTTCCCAGGCTCCTGACAGCGGCAGCTGACTTTTCTGAGTTCGTGTTTTGCCTCCTCCTTTGAGTGCAGGGTAGTGGGGGAGGCACTGAAGTTGGCCTTCCATTTCCTAGCATTAGAAAAGGGACAGATCTATCCGAGGAAGGAGTCTCCCTGTCCTGTTCCCTTCAATCTGATTTTGAGGTAAAAATCTGGATAGGAACAGAGGCTGATTGGAATGGTTGGGGACACTAGTGGAGGGAGGGATGCAGCCCCTGGTGAGGAGCAAGGAGGTAATTTGGGAATTCTATTGACAGGGGACTCTGGGGCCTTTGGGATAGGTGGGCAGACCTAGCCTTGCCTCAGTATTCTGGGCATGTGACAGGCTGTGAGGCTTGGGCATGGACTGAGGTCCACATGCGTCTGTCTGCCTGTGGAGCTCCAGGGTCCTGTGGAGAGGTACAGACAGACATAGGGAACTAGAGGTGAGTGGAGACAGAGGGAACGGAGAGTCAGAGGCTGGGCAGGGAGGTCTAGGCAGTGAGGGAGCCACTCTTTCTGACTCTCTGAGGCACAGAGGCCAGGGTAGCTCCCAGCGCAGCGGTCTCCGCTTCCCAGACCGGGCCAGGCGTTGGGCTTCCTCGTCAGCTTTCCGGGATCTGAGGCTGCTGGAGGAGTCTTGGCCCTGGCCGCCGCAGTTTCCCGCAGAGGCTCTGCCAGGCCCCGGCACCTGGAAGCCCGGGCCTCGGCTCGGATTCAGAGGCCGGCCCGGCAGCTCCCCGCTGCCGCCGCTCAGGCCCGGCCGCCCGGCCTCCTCGTCGCGCGAGCGAAGGGCCTGCCCTCACCCGTGACCTCCGCGGGCCGGCTCCGAGGCGCGCCGGGCCCGAACCAGCAGGCGGCCGGTGAGCAGAGGGGCCGCGCCCTGGCCGTCGCGCCCGCGCCCGGAGCCCGGCAGCACGAGCGCGCGGGCCGGAGCGCGTAGGTGTGAGAATGTGTGAGCGGCATGGTCGGTGGACGAGTGCGGGGCGGCGGGCGGCGGGGCGCCCGCCCCCCGGGACCTGGGCTTTCCGAGCCGCCGCGTGCACCGCGGGGAGCGGGGCTCGCACCGCGCGGGGTGTGCGGGCGCCGAGCCCGCGGCCCGAGGCTCGGCGGAGGGCGGCTGTCTGCAAGTGGGCCCCCGGCCCGACCCCGGTGTGCGGGCCGCGCCGCGGCCCCGGGCGTTCGGTCCCGGTTGTCGCGTCTCCGTGAGAGCCGTGCGGCACCGCCAGGCCGCTCTCCCTCTTCCCGCGCCTCTAATCTAAACCACGCGGGGCTCCTGGCCCGGCCCGGCCTGCCGGGCCGAGGGCCGCCGGGAGGGCACCGAGCCACGCGGTGGGGGAGCGCGCGGCCGGCTCGGGGCTCGGGGTCCTGGGGCCGCGGAGCCAGGGGACCCTGGAGCCCCCCTCCCCGGGGGGCGGCGGGCGCAGACTGATTGACAGCGGCGACGTCAGCGCAGGGGGGTGGCGGCCCCGGAGGGAGGGAGGAAGGAGGAGGCAGCTGAGGCCCCAAAGTGCAGCCTCGGAGATCAAGGGCCCGCTCCAGAGTCGGGATGTGTCGGGCCCCGAGGGCGCGGCGGGCGACGGGACGCTGACGCAGCGGCCCCGAGTCGGTGCCCCTGCGGTCCCTTGCCCCTCGGACCCGAGCCTGCAGTGGACCTCGGGCCGCAGGCGCCTCCGCATACTGCAGCGCAGTTAGGGTGAGTGTGGGTTCCGGCGGGCATGGGGGTGAGCGGGGCGTGCGGGACAGGGCCACCCTGAGCCCAGCGTTAGGCTGTAGGTAGAGGATGAACGGGAAGAGCGGCGAGTAACGGGACGGGGTAAGAACCTCAGGAAAGGCAAGGCTGCAGGAGGGTTTCGCGCTGTGCTGCAGATCCGGCTGCCGCCTCAGCCCTACTCCCAGCGGTTTGGGGCGCAAGCCCTCGTCTCCACCGAGTAACGGGATGAATTGGGTCTAGGGACCCAAGGGCAAAGAAACCACAGCGCCAGCGCCAAAAGAACATAGATAAGCCGAGACTAGTGGAGCGGTGGTCTTGAAACTGGTGTTTGCAGAATAAGAAAGGCCAAGAAGTGGGCCCGGGTGCTTGCGGCGGGATCGATGAAGAAATGTGTGATCGGAACCCTGGGCTTCAGAGCCTTTCATGCAACGGGCTCGTCAAAATTAAAGCAAGGAGCATTGCATATAAAGAATTATCGATGATCAAGAAGTATCAGAATGTGAGCAGTTACCAAAGAACCAGGGCTAAGTGGCAAAACTAATACAGCACTCACACTTTTAAAACAACAGTAAAATAATAGTCGCTGTCAGAACCAAGCGAAAATTGTAATCACAAACTTAAAAGGATCACAGACAAAGTAACTCCACATATAGGAACAATGTGATAAGAACCACTGTATTAAAATCAATAGTAAAAATAAAATCAATAGCGATAGGATAGGAAATAGTAACAAATGATAAAACTGTAGGGAAAAGGCAAACAATTAAAAATACTATTAAGGGAAACACTAATATTAGCAGTATTGATGGAATACTATAGATAATTTATTATTGATACTATAATGAATTATTATAATAAATATTCCCCTAAATCTTTAGAGCAATACTAATATAAACAAAGACAGCAACAAGAATTGCTGGAATAATATGACAATTTATGACCAAGGTATTAATTGTCCCAACAACATTATAAATAATGGTAGAGTAACAAGAAGTATCGTACCAATGTGATGAAAAATAATCAGAGTATTAAGAACTACAGCAATATCACAAATTATGACAAAGTAACAAGGAGTAATGATGTGATGAAAAATAACGGGCGAATTAAGATTGCAACATTACAAATAATGACAAAGTAACAAGATTTTGTACCGATGTGATGTAGAATACCTGGAGTATTGAGAACAATTCTAACAAAACAAATAATGATACAATAACAAGAAGTATTATAAAGATGTGAAGAAAACTAATGTCAATATTGAGAACAATGATATTACAAGCTATGGTAAATAGTAAGTTATCGAAACTGTGACAAAATACAGAGACTGAGGAGCCAGCAACAGAAGCACTTTAGGGGTACAAAATAAAAACTGAAATAACAATAGATTAACATGACCTACTGGAATACTATATTTAGTAATCACCTAGATATTAGTAACAGTGTCACTAATGTACCAGGAGGGCCTACAGTGATGGAGCAGGGACAAGAGACAGCAACGTATTTAATAATGATGAATTAACAAGTCAAACCAGTGCTTTAAATATACAGTGTTAAAAATAAAAAGGGCTAATAACTTGTGTGATAGGATATTTTAATGTTATTGAACTGCCCCGAATACTACTCTCCTAATAGAGAGAATATTTAATTTAATAATTTAAAATAATACAAAATGTTAATTTCCCCAGTGCAAGAAAAATATCACCAGTAATCTAGAGTAAAGAGGAAAACGCTGTTCTTGTTGGAGAGGGAGAGGCTGAAAGCGATGGACGGAGCGAAACGGCGCCGAGCCGGCCGGCGCGCCCGCTGAGCGGTCCGCCGAGGGGTCCGCCGAGGGGTCCGCCGGGGGCGGGGGGGGGTCCGCCGGGGGGTCTGCCGAGGGGTCCGCGAGAGGGGCGGACGCGGTGGGCTGCGGCCCTCGGGCTCCGGCCGGCCGATGCAGAACGCGCCGGTGCAGCGCTCCGGCGCTCGGGGGCAGAGGGGAACCGAGGGGACGGCCAGTCTGGGCCAGCCCGGAGGGAAGGAAAGATTAGCGGGGAGCCCCATCGAGGGCGCGGTGTTGAGATGTGTCTCTGCGGCCGAGGGAAAAGGAAGATGCGAAGCCGGCGGAGTGGAAGGAGAGCGTCAGGCTGCCCTCGTCCCAGGTGGGAGCGGTGGGACCGAGTCAGTGCGGGTCATGGACGTGCTCAGTGCCCAGGACTGAGGGTGCCGGGCGAGTGCCAGACCGCGGCCCTGCACGGCTCTGGGTGTGACAAGTCCCCCCGTAGAGGACCCGGTGGCCAAACAGCATCGCTCCAGGCGGCGGGTCTTCCTGCCCCCGTGGTCTGTCGCGCTTGGGACCAGCCGATCGCCGGGACCCATCCGTCTGACCCCAGATTCAGTCGGAACCAACGTCTTGGGCCAGAGCGTGAAACTACCCTCCTGGCGCGATGTCCCCTTGCCTAGGGGCTCTGGGTTTCCTAGGCTCGACTGAAACCCGCAAGTGGCCCAAGGCCGGTACTGAGGCTGGCCAGGCCGGGCTAGACTTGTTGCCTGCTGCCTGTGGACCAAGGACTGGGAGGGCTGTCAGCTTTATCTTTATGGGCTTTTCCCAGCCCCGACTGGCCCAGGCCCCTTTTTTATCTCCCTCTGTTGCACTTGGCTTGTTTACTTATTGAGACCCTGGGAGCCGATGTCTAGGACCTGGGATGGGGAAACCAGTAGGCAGGATGGCCAGAGGCCTGGGCCTTGGGATGCTCAGGGAGATCCAGAAGAGAACAGAAAGAAGACAGGAGAAAGGGCGAACACTCCTTCACAAGCGAGGCAGCCAGGCACATAGAAAGCCGCAACAGATCCAAAAGAAGGGAGAAGAGCAGGGAGGTGGAAAGAAGTTGATATAATGCAGGGTTGCATCCGTGATGGAGGCGGGAAAAGCAGGTTCTGCAGCCTGGACTCTCATCCTGACATCCCAGGACCAGCTTCTGGAAGGGAGCAGGCGCTTGGACAGCCTGGTGAATAGTTCTAGACACTTGGATGGCTGTGCTGGTGGGCAGCACTAGGTTGTGCCTGTGAACTGGACCTACCCAACTGGCTTGGTCCTTAGCTGGGAAGGGTCTGGGTCCTTTGCCCCAAAGCAGAGCCCTTTGGAGCTAAAGTGTGACTGAGTGAGCCAGCAAATGTGAATGTGTGGGCAAGGCTAGAAAGCCTCTGGCCAAATTCAGGGCCCAAATCGGAGCGAGGAGAGTGTGGCTGCTTGAGTGACTAGAAGACTCTATGTGGGTGCTTGCGTCTGGATGTGAAGTGTGTACCTGTGTGAGTGACACATAGGGTGTCTGTGTGAGTGGGAATGTGCAGGAGTGAAAGCCTTCTGACTGCTGTCTAACGGAGAGCATGAGGGCAGATGAGTGAGCAGAGGCCTGAGGGACGGCCCAGCCCTCCGCCCTTTTTGCAGGTGTGGAGCCCCAGGAGCCCGGGCCCTGGTCTCCTGGTCTCACTGTCCTGGCCGCCCTAGGCCACGAGTGAGCCTGAACCCTGGTTATTAGGCAACTGCCAAAAGAGACCCAGGCCTCAGTCTCCCCTGGAGCCCAGCAGGAGGGAGGGACTGGGGGTGCCGCTGGGGCAATGCCGAGAGGGCGGTCCTTCCCCCAGACCTGCTCATCGCACAGCCCCACACCCAGGGGCAGGCAGACCTTGAACCGCACACAGACCTTCTCAGGTCCAGAACCCAGAGGGAGGAGGCGACAGTCCAGCCCTCGGCATTTTCTCCCTCCCCCAGCTCAGAAGGGGGCGGTGTCCACGTGCGCCAGGGCGGCCTTCCCGCGCGGCCCGAAGTCCCCCGGCTGGGCAGGAGCCGGCTGAGGGGCCTCTGGCGAGTGTGGACCCGGGCATGTGACTCGGTGTGTGCTGTGCCCGCAGGAGATGCTGCAGGATAAGGGCCTGTCGGAGAGCGAGGAGGCCTTCCGGGCCCCGGGCTCGGCTCTCGGCGAGGCCAGCGCTTCCAACGCCGCCAACAACCCCGAGCCCGCGCTGGCCGCGCCGGGCCTCAGCGGAGCCGCGCTCGGCAGCCCCCCGGGCCCGGGCGCCGACGCTGCCGCCGCCGCCGCCGCCGCCGCCGCCGCCGAGCAGGTAGGGCCGCGCTGGCCGTCGGGCAGAGGTCGGGCGTCGGTCTGTCTGTCCGCAGGGCAGCCTGCGTCTGCCAGTCCGCCCCACTGAGGACAAGACTCGCTTCCCGGGGCACCTGGCCGGTCCTGGACTGCGCGTTCTGCTCCGCGGGGCAGGGCTGGCGCTCTCTGCCTTTCGTCCCTCTTCTGCTTCGCTCCCTCGGGGCTACTTGGGGACAGGCGGGAGAGGGGACTCTTGTGGCAGTGGGGCGAGCCCAGGCCAAGCGTCCGGCTCCGATGACGCTCAGAGGGCCTAGGCGAAAGCCTGGCACGGGGAGGGGAGAACAGATCCCGGTCGGGTGAGAGAGGGAGCCGGCACGGGGACGTCGCTGAGAGGGTCACACTGATAATCTGATGATGGAAATGAAAGGAATCTCCCTGTGCGGACCCTCGACCTGCATGGGTCTGCGTAGAGTCTGCGGGTGCGCAAGCCTGGCCGCGGGGGCGTGTGTCCCTCCTCTGTCTGTGTGCATCCACAAACCTGTGGCTGTGTCCCGCCACGTGGAGTGTTTACGTTCGTGTGGTGTGTCATCTGCCCTGGCACGGTGAGCACGTGTCCTCTGCGAACCATCTATAGGTGCGGCTCGGAAGGAGCGGGTTTCAGCTACTGATTAGATTTTGAGAAATTCACCAGTGGTACAGGATAATTTTATGAAACGAAATCTTGAGGCGTGGGCTCCGGGGGTTGGCAGGACTCTGCATAGCTCCTTGGACCTGTGTTCTCTGCTCTGTGGGCTCCACATGGAGCCGTGGCCCAGGTCGACATAAGACCCCTTCCCTCTCACCCCTAGACCATCGAGAACATCAAGGTGGGCCTGCATGAGAAGGAGCTGTGGAAGAAGTTCCACGAGGCGGGCACCGAAATGATCATCACCAAGGCGGGCAGGTCAGCGCTGGGACATTTATTTGGGGGATGGGGGATGACTGGTGGGGGAGGTGGGGATCCCCCAGGAGCTCCCTTGACAGTCCTCTAGGACTCCAGCCAAAGGAGCTCTGGGAGTTCCCTTCGCCCTTCCCGTCTTAGCCGGTCTTAGCCTTCTACCACGGTTTTTGACTGGGCCACTAACCTTCCCCAGGAGACCCAGCCTCCTCCAGGGAGCCCCGAGGCATGGAAGGAGGGGAGGGGCAGCGCTATGCAAATAAATGCAAATAAGGATCTGGAGGCTGGAGGTCCCAGTCCCAGTATTATTGGCCCCCTGGGGGGCTGCTTTGTCCTCTTCTTTTGGGGGACCTGCCTGGTTTCTCAGAATTGCATTGATTGGGGACCGGAGATATCTCTCAACAGATAGAGGAAGGGGACAGGACCACGTTTTCCTATTTCCATAACTTTTCCTGGCAGCGGCAACCCCAGATCTCTCATCCCGTGGGCTGCTGCTCCTCTACTGCCAGCCCCCCCCCCCACCTCAGCCAAGGGGAAGGCACCATTGGGCTCTGTGTGTATGTGTTGTTTGGGGAGCAGCTCTCGGGTGGCTGCCAGAGATGATGATTTATGAAGTGGAAACATCTTTAAAATGCGCTGGTGTCTGTGGGAGAGCCTGGAGGAGAGGGTGAGAGGAGGGAGGTGCATACGGGGCAAGATGAGAGATTCACTGGGACCGGCGGGGCCAGGAGTCCCAGGTGGGGCAGGACCGGCAAGGCCAGCGGCTATCAGTGCAGGCGGATTGCTGCAGACGGAGGAGCTGGAAAGTTCAGGTGTAGGAACTGCCCTCTCCCCACTTGCTCACATTTGATTCTGGTCCCTGGGGGACAGGGTAGGTGTGAAAATATCTGTGGGCCCATAATTGGGTTTTCGAAGGAATAACGTGGTGAAGCCTCAAGGGCCAGGGATGGGGAGTCAGACCACAGTGGCTTCCAGTTCCGCTCAGCTGCTTTCATCTGTGCAAGCCTCAGGCAAGTTGCCTCAGGGTCTCTGCCTTCTCCTCACACCCCTCTGCAAATTAATACATACAGTTGTATGTAAAGCACTTAACCTAGCTTCTGGCACATATGAGCGTGTCATACATGTGAACCAAAATTAATTGTAATTAGAGAAATGTCTGGCATCCGCTCAGCAGTTGTCTTCTTAGAAAACTGCTGAACTGCGAGAACAAGACCGGTGTTGTTGAAAAGAAGCAAAAAGCTGGTAGTTTTGCAGTGTATAGTGAAGGGATGCTGTGGCCCTTCTCGCCTGCTCACTGGCAGGCCTTGCAAGGTTTCCTTTGTTTTGCTGGGGGTAAGTTCTGGGCATGTGCTGCCCTGGTAGGTGGCAAGGCCATCTGGAGGCTCTATCCAGGGAAGGGGCATGGGGAAGTCAGGGCCTGAATTTGCTGCATTTGGGGGCTGGGGAAGGAGGATGCATTAGGGAAGCCTGGTGGAGGGTACCACTTGGGATAGTCCTTGAAGACAGAGGCGAACCAGGTCTCTCAAGTCTTGCCTCTTCCTAGCTGAATACCCTTGGGCAGGTCTGTAAACTTCCCGTGGCTCAATGGTACTGGCTAAAATGGAGCTGGTGACTGTAGACTTACCTGCCATCCTTCCTTTCTTAGTTGCTGTGAGACTCAAATGGCGGTCACGTGAGCTGCATATGGTAAATTGTTGAGTGGATTATAGGTGTGAAGAGGGGGAATTTATTTCTTGTAACTGCTGGGGTGAAGGGATGGAAAGAAGAAAGAGAAAGATCCAGAACCTCCTTTTTTAGGCAGTAGAAATAACCTTGTCTTTTGAAAATAAATGGCTAGCATGTTCTCGGGGCTTGCCTGGCCTCTGCCATTTTAAACAAAAGACATTTGTGATTCTCCTCAGTGGGGTTTCCTGCATCAGTGTGGGTCCTCCTCCCTCCCTTCCCCAACACACACACACACACACACACACACACACACACGCATGCACACATTTCCAGAGGTGACCAGCTTCAGGCAGATGTCTGTG